TTACATATAGGCAGACTGGTTGACCTACAGTTTTTTTCATAAATTTACGTAATTGTCCTCTAGTATTAGATGTTATAGCATTTCCATTTATTTCATCTAAAATATCTCCAATTTCAACTTTATCCTAAAAATAAAAATTAAATAAAATTAATATTTTAAATAAAATTATATTAAAAAATAATAATAATAATGTTATAAAAATTTAAAAAATTGTGTTCATTACATCTTCTGCAGCCACAGAATTTTTATCCAAGTTAACTATTAAAGCTCTTCCTTTTGTAAAACTGCAATAATATAAGATTCATAATATCTATAATGAATAATTACTGATAATTTATTTTTACAAATGTTAATTTCTTACCATACAGAAATACCTAAACTTTTACATGGTACTAATTCCAAAGCCACACATTCTGGTAATTGCCAAGATTCATCTAAAAAGCTACAATTTCGTAAATTCAATTTAAAATTTAATTTACTGCTTTGCAGTAATACTGATAAAAATATTTCTCCAAGAATATTATCTCCCAGAATACTGTTTCTATCATAATAGTCAGTAGACATTAATGGTGTTCTGACCTATGAAATTTTAATTAAAAATATTATGTTAAGAAATTAATTTTGTAATATAAAAAAATATACATACCAACATTTCAACTGGCATATGAAGGCACTTTCGTATCAAACATGTTTTAATTAAAAGCCTAAGACGTCCAGTAGGTGTATAAACTTTTGGATTTTTTTTCACTTGTTCAACAACCAAAGAATAAGTGCAACAAGAACTAAAATAATAAATATTTAATGTAAATATTTATAACTTAATATAAATATTTTATTTCTTAAATATTATAATAATATGAAAAATATAATATATAATATAAATTTTCTTTTTTGTGTTTTTTCAAACCTAAAATGTTTTTCTGCAATTTCTTCCAACCAATACCAAGCATCAGGTAATTTTGGAAAACCTATTGGATTTAAACGCATCAATATTCCTTTTTGAAAACATTTTTCTAAACTTTTATAAAAAAAAGGTAGATCTTTGTTTTCTTCATCAATTTCAATGTCACTTTCAGTTAATTTCTTTGTCCAACCTGAAAATTGTTTCTTTTAATAATTAATTTAATAATAATAAATATTCATTATAATACTGTCTAATTGTTTAATTTTAAAATTGAAAAAAAGAATAAAAAATATAATGTATTTTTAAAAAATTTAATATAAATCTTATTAAAACGAAATATAAAATAAAAAACAAGAAACCATTATAAAATAAATTATTTTTTTTATATAATATAATAATTTTAGATGTCAGATATCAAAACTTAAAAATGAAAATATTTATAATTTAATATAAATAATTAATAGAAAAGATATTATTATTTATTATAATAATCTTACTGCTAAAATAATTTTCTAACCTACAAAAATATTATAATTAATTACCTTTCAATTCTTTAATAAGGGGATTTGAGACCGTCATGGCATTATCAACTTGAATTATTGTCAAACATCAATAATCTTTATTAAATAAACTAGTCAGAAATTCTTAACGATCAAAAGAAATATCATTTTCAATTAACTTATTTATATATTATTGTTTTAACAATATAAAAGAATATTTGTTATACTTCAAACGTCACGTTTACTGAATGTATTTTATTTATAATGATATTATACATATATATATATAATACGTAGAATACTTGCATTATTATAAAAGATAAAATTTACATTTACAAGCAAACGGCACACATAAATAAAATTAATAGATAACAAATACTTGATATATTAATTTTACTTATTTGAAGTATAATAGATATTCGTATTTTCAATATTCTATGTATTATATAAAATTAAGTTATATTTGAATTAGAAGAATAAATAATATTAAAAATTTAATTTAAAAATTTAATTGCATGAATTTTGTGTGTTAAATGTTATTAAATATAAATAGTTTTAGAATAATTAGTTAAAATGGCAACAATTGTGCCTGATATAAATGAAATAAAATCAAAAGCTTTGGAAGCTTTTGCAAATGAATTTGGAGATAATGCGAATATTTGTGTATGTGCACCCGGTCGTGTGAATTTAATAGGAGAACATACAGATTATAATGAAGGTTTTGTTTTACCCATGGTAAAATTATTGATGTTTATATAAATATTACTTTTTTTTACATAATTAAATTTGCGTTTTATAATTTAACGTATATACAAAAATTAAAAAAATTTTTTCATATAATAAGCTATTGCTTGAAAAAAATAATTTTTCACATTACTAATATCGGCAACACGTTAATTATTTCTTTAAATATTTATTTCTTATGTTATTAATAATAATTTAAAAATTTAATTAATCTATTATTATTAAAATTTAATTTATTAATGAAAATATTAAATAAATAATAGAATATTAAATAAAAAATTAATTTTTGGATAAATTTGAATAATTGTTAAAAATTATTATAATTATTGTAATATTATTATTTCTTTATATTTAATCAAATAGAATTTATTAAATCATTTTATTTTCATTGAAAAGTATATTTTTTAATTGAACAGCTATTAAATTTTTTAAAAAATATTAATAAATAATATTGATATTTAAATAAATACTAATAATGCATAATTAATATATTATAGGCATTGCCCATGGTTACACTTGTAGTGGGAAAACTTAGCAATGGAAAAAAATGTAAAATTGTTTCTCTTAATGATATAGTTAATTCTGAAAATCATACTGAATTTGAAGTTAGTTCTCGTAAAAATATAAAACCTGGAGAACCAAAATGGGCTAATTATGTAAAAGGATGTGTAGCAAATTTTATTTGTCAGTTTGTTTATTATTTGAATTTATTTTAATAAAAGATAATAAAGTAATATAATATTATATAATGTTAATTTTAGGCGATGTGCCACCTTTTAATGCTATTATTTTGTCTACTGTACCAGTTGGTGCTGGTTTAAGTAGTTCAGCTGCTTTGGAAGTTGCTATTTATACATTTTTGGAAGAATTAACTGGTATAGAATCAGAAAAGCCAGAAGATAAAGTATAATTGCATTATTTATTTTAATTTTAATTTTATTAAAACAGAAAAATTTATTAGAAGTGTTGTTTAGGCATTAGCTTGTCAACGAGCTGAACATGATTTTGCTGGAGTTCCATGTGGCATCATGGATCAATTTATTTCTGTGATGGCCAAAGAAGGTTATGCTCTTCTTCTTGATTGCAAAGATCTTAGTACTAAACAAATACCTATATCAAAAATAAATGATTATATCTTTTTAATTACTAACTCTAATGCACCTCATAAATTAAGTTCAAGTGCATATTGTGAACGTAGAGATTGTTGTTATGAAGTTGCAAAAAGATTAAATAAAAAAAGTTTACGTGAAGTATCTATGAGTGATATTCAAGGTAGATTAAAGAATATAATTATATCAAAAAAAAACAAAAATATTTTTTTTTTTATTAAATTTTGATATTTTATATTTTTTTTTATTTTTAGTTTTAAAATCACAAAATGTACCTGAAGAAATGATAAAAAGAACTCGTCATGTAGTCACAGAAATTAAAAGAACAATTGATGCTGTAGAAGCTCTTGAAAAGGGAGATATCAAAAAATTTGGACAGTTAATGAATGAAAGTCATGATTCTTTAAAAAATGATTATGAAGTTTCTTCAGTTGAATTGGACACTTTAGTAAAAGCAGCAAGAGAAATAAATGGAGTTTTAGGAAGCCGTCTAACTGGTGCTGGTTTTGGAGGATGTACAGTAACATTATTAAGAAAAGATGTAATTGATCAAACAATCAATCATATGAAAACAAAGTTAGATTGTTGTTTTTGTAACACTTTTATAATTTTTGAATTTGATAATGATATTTATATATAGTATTTTGTTACAGATATTCTGGAAATGCAACATTTTATATAGCAGAACCTGCAATGGGTGCAAGAATTTTAGACAAAAATTAAAGAATATGATAGTAAAAAATTATCATCTAATTGCAACAATATGTTTCATGTTTACAAATAAAATGGATATAATAAAAAAAAACTCAAACTTTATTTTTACACTTATATTAAACTAACTCTCTTTAATTTAAAAAAAAAGTGATATACTCTTAAAAATTTTGATTTTTTTTTTTATAGTATATCATATAAGATTTAAAGTAAAATGCTTAAACAAATTTTAATATTTGTTAATTTTTTTTTGAAATAATATAAAATATTACATATTATTATATGTTATATAATAACTTTTAAATTGCATGTACAATAATGCATGTATATAAAAAATGCTACTGACAAATTATATAAATTTATATTCATCTATAAATTTATATACATATCTCATAATCTTATATAATTATAATAGACCCTTTTGATACAATATTCATAATATAGTTTTTCTATATATCTTTTTATAATATTTAAAATTAATATATTTAATATGTTTTCATCATTAATATGTATTACATACATTCTTAGTAAAAGTTCTTAGTAAAAGTAGTGAAAAGTTTTTATTTTATTTATGTGAAATTACATACATGAAATATCGTCGTATAATGTAATATTGTATCCAAAGGGTTGATACTTAATTACAATAATTATTAAAACATATTGTTCCTCTTTATTGTAATATTATCTATATTGTTCGTTTTCGAATTAATATAATACTGATATGTATAAAATAAAAAAAAGGAGTACTTCCGGGACGGAATTTATAAAAGTCTAAATATTATCAGTACCTGTTCATAGTAGTTGACGAATTTGAAAATTCTGAAAATAAATAAAAGTTTTATACTAGTTTAATCTAAATTATACACATCTATATAAAATTTAACAATTATTAATAAATCAATTATCTAATCATATAATATATTATATAAAAATAAAATTAGTTAATTACCTTTCAAACAATCGTTAAGTTCAAGTTCGCTAGAACTACATTTCAAACCAGAAGGTTTTACACCTTTGAAAATTTCAATAATACTCGGTTTCAAATTATGAAAAATCAAAGGTTGTCCACGTTTCGAAAAATCTTCCGTTAAACTTTTAATTCCCTAAATAAATTATATAAATTATATGAATTATATAAATTATAATGTACAAATAAATTATATAATATTGATAATTTTCAATCTTGATTATATATATAATTATTTTTTTTTTGTTTTGAATATTTTTTTTGATTATTCTATATTTTATATTATTCCATCTTCTATTATAACATTTTATAATGTACCTTTGCAGCTGTAAAATCTGCTGCTTGGATATGTGTAGAATCTATAACAACAGGTACCGCTGTTCCCTGTTTTGTACCTTGCTTACTAATTACAGCCCGCACGTATTCGACACTTGGAAAAACAAGACTTCTGTCGGGCGTTATGACAAGATATTCACAGCCGTTGATACTCTAAAATAAATATTACATTGTACATATATTTATAACAATATGATTTCTCATTATAAAAAAATGAATAAGATCATTAATTTATATCATGTATGTAATATGAAAACTTCCTTACTGTATCTTTATGAACTCGTAGCGATGGTCTTGCTGAAGCATAAAGTAGGAACAAAACGTTTATACCGATACCAATTACTATACCTAATTCAAGCCTTATAAAAAGACAGCATAAAAATGTAGCCACAGCTGGTATGAGATCAATTTCTGAAAAGAAATTTATTTATTTATTGTATAATATATTCAGAAAAGTCTCTGTTCATAGTAAAATTTTAAATCTACTATATATTCATAATGAATGAATATCGTGTACTATTAACATTATATTTAAAAATTAAACTGTACTTTTTGTTCTCCATATAGGCTTAATCACGTGTAATTCCACCATAAAAATGACAGCCGCGATGATGATTGCAGCAAGGGCGGCGTTAGGAATAAAGTACAAATACGGGGTAAGGAACTGAAGTGATACAAGTACTAAAAGTCCAGTATAAACACCACCAAGAGTCGTTTTCACTCCGGATGAATGATTTACGGCACCACGACTAAGGCCACCGCTTACAGGCATGGAAGAAACGAAAGCTGACACAACGTTGCATACGCCTAAAGCCAACATTTCTTGAGTCGCATCGATTGGTTTACCTTCATCTATAAAAAATATGTTTTCTTTATACGAGATCTTATAATACATAATACAATTTACAGATAAAAGCTTAATCATTATATATAATACTATATTGTTATTATACGCGTAACAAGCATATGACATAAAACTCACTAAAAACTTTGGCAATAGAGATGGTTTCTAAGAGGCTCAATAAAGGAATGACTAGACATCCAGAACCGAGTGCGGAAACCATATCGACGAAGTTATAAGTTTCGTTCTTGTAATAGGTTTGAAACGGTGGTAGCTGAAATTCCGGAAGTCCTTGTTTAACGTGGCCCGTCAATTTAACGGGTGAGGAACCTAAGTGACTTTCTAAAAGCCAGCATATAACACCGCAAACGAGGACCACGAGAATATTTCGTGCCGTGGACAGTAACCAAAGTGATTTTTGCATAATTACTTGTACTCTCGACGACATTTTTGCCGCTTTTTGCATAAATGGTATATCTTTGATTTTCTGCAAGAAAAAAAAAAATTTTTACTTACTTTATTCTTACGACAAAAAATATCTATTTATTAGATAATGTTCTAAATAGTTTAGATTACTATTAAATGTTTATTTAAAAATTTACTTAACAAAAATTACATTGTACATGTTATTTTATTTTATTCAATGATGATACTAACTCTAAGAAGAAGTAGTACGATTATACAAGTGATACCCAATGCACTGTCCCAAAGTTTTGTTTCTCCAATTTTTTCGAATATATTTTGCCATACTTCGACAAATTTACTACCACCTATATGAATGCCTAGAATATCCTTCACTTGGCTAGTAGCAATAATTATCGCTGCTGCCGACGTAAAACCGACCGAAACTGGTCCTGATATGAAATCCAATAAAAAACCTGATAAGAGAAAATATATAAATATTTATTAAATAATATTTGTATTTAGTAGTATTTCTTTGTACAAAAATATATATATATATATATATTTGATAGAAAGATAATCGATAATATACCTAAATGTAAAATTCCCATTAATAAACACGCGCAACCAGAGATGAATGTTAAAAGAACCGCAAAATCGGGCCCTAAATCAGATTTTTGTAACGTTTCTCTCGTCAAGATTGCGATAATTGCAGTTGGCCCAACTGGAACGTCTTTACAGGATCCAAAGATAGTGTACACGAAGCATGCCATGAAAGATGAATATAAACCATACTGCGAAAAAAAAGAAAATTTTAGAACGAATAATGTAAAAATAAATAAACAATATTAAAAAAAATAATGATAATAATAATATGTATAAAAAATAATATACATTAAACATTAATATGATATTTAAATAAAACTTGGAAAGATGGGAGAATAAACGTTCTTACCTGCAAAGGAAGTCCTGCCACATTCGCATAAGCTATCGCCTGTGGTATAACGGTAAGGCCTACGGTAATACCAGCAACGAGATCACTTACTATGTAATCCTTACGATACGTTTGTATCCACGCTGCTATAGGTACCCTTTTGTAAACCATTTTTTTCTTGCACGATCTTTTGATTCGTTGATACACCCATTTCCTTCCTAAAGAGCATAATAGATCTTTTTCAGGATTTTGAGGAACTGGAAAAAAAATTTCATTTTTTATTATTAAAAAAATATAATTGTATATAATCGAGCAATGAAATATAAGAGAGTGAAAATTTATCATATTTTATAAATTATAAGTTTCATTTCTTTTTACAATATTTTTAACTATTATATATATTTCACTTTAAATAACCTTCAATAATTCATATAAAATTATAAAATAATTATAGCATATAGAATTTTCACATTTTCTTCCATCTTTAGTGTACAATCCGAAAAAACGTAAAGTGTAAAAACGTTTCAAGTATTTTAACGTGAAAGGTATTCCCGATATCTAATGCACGAAACGACAATACACATGTAAACAAAGATCATTGCACGACAAGCTGTGAAACGTTTACAATGGGCAAACGGTATAATTAAACGTGTAGGAAAATAGTTAACACGTGTGTGGAATAACGATGTAGATTCCTCGGATCGCGTGACGACCTTTTTAAATAAACGATTTTAGAAAGTACGACGAAAAGAGGAAAAAGATAGCGGAATAAAAAGAAAACTGTGTGGCCACGAGGCATCTGACTCGAGTCACGGGGTATTAGGATTACCATAATATGTATGCGAGTGTGCATAGTGCTGTAGTTCCCGTATAACTGGTGATAATTGCGTCCAAAAGTGAAGTTAGACAGGTTTAACTGGTTCTGCGCGTACAGCACGTGATGTTTGAAGGAAAATATAAATTGTCCAATGAATAAAAATGATATCCATTCAATCGACATTACATACGTTAAATGAAATTTCACCGGATTGAATGTTGCTCGTTTTTTTTTTTTTGCAGAAAATTAGAATTAAACGAATCGAAAATTTTTAAACTTTTAATTTTCTGTTAATTGATATTTTCTTAGTTATTTCGTTCAATTATTTCGTTGAAAAAGATAATGTTTAGAGAAGAGAATTTTTTATATCATTCTTATATATAGTTATTTATTGCTAAATTGTTATCTATATTTTAACAAAGAATTATAAATTATTTGGCTTTTCTTTGGCTCTTCTTACAATGATAAATCGTATGGAGTATTAACGTTTGATCGATCGAATTCGCGAAAATATGAGTAATAATTTTTGTTACATATTGAAAAATTAAATAAAAGAGGGAAAAAAATTAATCGATAAAATCGAGAAAATTTTCAGTAATTGCAATTAAAAATAATTTCAATATCGTTCGGCTTGAAAAATGAACGTAATTTTAAAAATTTAATTTTAAAAAGATAATCGCAAGGCATCGATATCAATTGCGAAAATTATTACGAAACAGTAATATAAATTCTGAATTATTTTATATATCATTTCGAAATTTTCGAGGATATCTCAATCGACAGACGGTAATGATGAATTTTCCAATTTTCCAAAAAATTTCAATCGAATAATTCGTTTCGGATTATTCGAACAAATTATTTATAAAAATTATCATTATTTTCAATCAAAATTTTTTTTTAATTTTTATCGCGAAATAAACAAGTTTCTCGTATAGTATTATTTAAGACTCTTATACGTTTATTGAAATGAAAGTGTTACGAGCTAACGAAATCTCATTATCATTTTTAAAACAGGTTGTATCAAGGAAAAACTTAAAGAATAGAATAATAGAAGCGCTTTCCTATTACACGTCATTATTTCGCAAATGGGAACGAAATGAATCAGAAGATTTAAAGAATCCATAACTTCGAATAATTTTTTCGTTGTTAAACGCACTTGGCCTAACCACAAAACTGAACTGAGGAAAATTTGCAATACCAAGTTTTTTCCCCCTCGTTTGCATCCGTTTCATAAGAATTCGTATTAAGCGAAGTATCGTTTTTCTCACGATACTTTTTTTTTTTGACGTCATTTGAAAATTTAACTTTTAGTGTTTCCCAACTTTTTCTTATTTATACGATACGACTCGTAATAAAATAGCCTTCGAAATATTCAAATAACTCGTGACCTCTCCTTTTTTTAAGTAATCAGATGAATTGCGTTTTTTTTTTTTTTCCCTTTTATTAAAATCAAAATATATCTCTTTAATTTAATAGATTCGCGTTTTCGAACCGACTGTTGACGTCGATTTATTTCATCGTCCAAATTTTCCAATTTTTAAAAATCGTCACAGAACGAATCCAATCATTTCACCAACGATAAAATATAATATTTTTATCTCTGGAAAGATAAAAAAAGTTATGTAAATTTCTTCAATGCCTGGATATTTTATATTTTTTTGCATTATCACGAGCACCAGTAAATTTAAATTTTTTTTCGATAAGAAAAATTATTGACAAAGGAGGAAAAACGAGAATAAGGTAAATTCCCGAAGATAACTTAATTAATTCTTAAAATATATTTTCCCATTTCAAAAATAACAATTTTTCAATTCTCAATAATCAATAAGCTTGTCAGATTGAAATTACTTTTTAGAAAGAAATTTTAAAGAACCGCTACATTAATTTTTATTCTCATAATTTCCATGTTATTCTTTTGATAATCTTGAAATCGCAATCGCAAAATTGCATCATAAAAAAAAAAAAAAAAAAAAAAAAAAAAAAAAGAGAGAAAAATTAAACAGCTAGCGTAACAATTTAAAACGACGAGAGAATAATTGATATAATCAAAATGTTAAACTGTTGGGTCGTTATCGATACTTTTCCATCTATCAAATTATCAAACGATCATTTTTTATTTCTTCTTCTTCTTCTTCTTCTTTTATGAATATTCTCATGGCCCCGCGTTGGAAAATTGAATCTCAAACGGATTTAGCGCACACAGGCTTAAGATTTACAATAATCGTAAAAAAACGCCTCGAAGAATCCGCTTTTGCCTCGATGGAGATTTATTTCGTTCCGTTCGTAATCTGCCTTATAATTTATTCGCGATTTGCATGTCGTAGAATTTCTTAATCGATAAACCTGTGACTATCAGGTGTTTGAAATTATCCACTTTGAATATTGAATTTAAATCGAGAATGGGAATCAAGGTTGGCCGTTAAAAAAAATTCATCGATATTAAATTGTAAAATCCTTCTGTCCCACATACGTTTCGCAAAAGAAATGTCTTTTTTAAGAATAACGCAAAAGTTCCTTGAAGATATAATATATAAAACGGGAGAGATCAAGAAAGATGATTTTTTTTCTTCTTCTTCTTCTTCTTATTATTATTATTAATAATAGTTTGAAATGATGAAAAGAACAGATAAGATGAATGGAAGAATTGTAATTTTCTTGAAAATATTCTCGACGAATTAAAAAAGATGGATAGTAATTTTACCGTTCTAATTTATTGGCGATTAACATTTTTTTTTTTTTTNNNNTAATTACGAATAACATTGATTAAAATTGGTTAATTTCAATGATATTGTAANNTTAGTTTCATTTGCATGATTGATTTCAAGCAATAAGAAAAAATAATATCGTAAAATCGTATTATTCGTTTCAGCAATTATAAACAATTTTTAAAATTCAATATCGAGTCTCATGGCCATTGTTAAGAAAGCAAATTCGAAATTTTAATAATTTTAAAAAACGTAAAAACAAATATAATTTATTTTTACTTCACTCCAAAGGTCATTCTATATTATATATCGTTGGATGAATAATTCATCGAGATTAAAAGATAGAGCACAATAAGTTCGAAATATGTATAAGATAATTTGTAATAATACGGCTAATTAATCAATCAGATAATCGATCATATTGCAAATTTAAGATTACTTGTGGATAATATTTTTATTCCTCGTTTACGACAACTGAGAATTTTCGTTCACGTGGACGAATCGTTAAATTCGTCGAATTAATAATTCCTCGAATAATCGAAAACATTATTAAAGATTTCAAAATGCAGAAAACACGTGCCGCGTTCCAACGAATGTAAAAATATCGTGAAATAAGAATTTAACTTCGATTTTAATGGAAAATGTAAAACGATATATAATTACGACAGAATTCTCGTTTATAATATCGAAACTTTTATCGCATTTTCAACGAAAATCGAAAGGATGATTGTTCGAGGTAAGACGAAAATCAAGAGTGGAAAAAAGAAAAAGAAAAATATTTCGTTCGAGGCTTTATTTTTTTCCCAGTTATCGATAATGATTAAAAATAGAAAGAAATATCCTTGGGCACGAGCAAACCATTTCCATCGATCCATTAATTGTCAAATAACATAATTGTCAAAAAAAAAACAAAAAACAAAAAACAAAGCTTCGAACGAAATATCTTTTTTTATTCTGCTTCCAAGAATCTTCTCCTTCACTTTTTTGCCTCGTATCGATCGAGCACAGCGTATATTCTTATCTTATTAATAACAACGAGAGAAAAAAAAAAAAGAAAAAAAGACTCACCATCGTTGCTCACGGTTTTATCATCCTGATTGCAAACACGAATATTGTTGAGTCTGTTCTCGAACTCGGGCATTTGATCGAGATCGTTGTTGTTGCTTCGAAGAGGATCCTCGAAGGCGGCATTGCAGTATCCGGTTAACCGAACCTGCTTCCCCGTTTCGAGATCGACGTCCTGGACATTGTACTTGGACATGTTCACGATGATCTTTTTTTCTCGATGAAATGGGAGATAGAGATCGAACTATTTTTCTTTTTTCTTTTTTTTTCTGTTTTTTTTTTTTTTTTTTTTTTTTTTTTTTTTTT